AGCGCGGCCCCCGCGACGGCGGCAGGTCTCGTGCCTTTACAGCACCGGACCAGCGGTCTCTCGAAGCGCCGTGTCCCACCGCTGCTGCCTTCCAGCTCCTCTCGCTGGCTGATGCTCCCAGGTCCAAAGAGGGCTGCGGATTATGGTTTATAGTTAACACAATTAAAAATAGACATTGAATAAACTCAACACAGGGGGGCTAGAAATGCGTGGTGCAGCTGGCACGTTAGGAGGAAACTAAGTGCTATTGCTCAAGCAAAGGTAATCCAGGGCACCGCGGCGCCGGAGCTTCGACTACCAGGCAAGTACTTTTAAACTTGTTTACAAACAAAGCCCCAGCAAACTCAGTGCATGTGCTGAGCAGCGTGCACCCAGCCGCAGCCAGGTGCACCGGCAGCGAGACCCGGCCGCGCTCGCGCTTGGCCCTGTTACTGTCTCTGTCGTTAGACTCAAACTCTAGGATTTGAGAAATTCTAGTTTGCTTTCCAGCTGGATTCCCAGTGCAAGGCACTCTCACGGGAAAAAGATGCTTGAAGTTGAGTGGTGGGTTTTTTTTTGGGGGGGGGGTAATACTAGCCCAGCTTGCATTTAAATGTCTTAAAGATCTGTCTTTAAGGTAGTAGCCATGAAACAATGTATAAGGGTTTTTTTCTTCTCAGTTGATGTTTACAAGAGCCTTTCTTGGAATGAGAGAAACTGGCCAACCAGTTACACTGGGGAAAATGCGAAACAGGCAATGAATAAAATGCTCAGCAGTTTAAAAACAAAACCTGAGGAAAAAAATAAGAAGGTGGGGGGGGGAGTGCTTTGTCTTATTTTATATACTTACTCTTTGTAGTTTAGCGCTCCTATGGATTATTTATAACTAGGATAGAATTTTCAGACAGAAATGGGATTTTTAATATCAGCAGCCTTCCTCATTACATTTGTATTCTGGAAGTATGTTCGTGTGGCTGGGGAAGCCGGTCGGATGCTTGGAGTAAAAGAGCACAGAAAGAGAAGACTGGGTTAAATTAATTCCTGCTAAATACCTACCAGCAGACTCGCTGTCTATATGGGGAGCTGGAGACAGAACTGTACCAGGGTAAAAAGGATACTGCGTCTATTTATAGCCCTGCCTTCAACGCGGTAGGAATTCAAAGGAAAACTCCAACTCAGCGCGCAGTCTTCTCATCATCTGCTTCTGTCAAGATTAAATCAGGGCTGAGATCATTCCCTGCCCCTGCAAATCCCTGCAAGGAAGGGTCTCTTCCTTTCCGTGAGGGGCCACAGCTCGGCTCGACGCTCACGTGGCCTGGGCTCCCGGGGTCCCCGCGCGGCCAAAGGACAGGACGGACCCCGAACTCATCCCTCTCGGTAGCCAGCGAAGGGGGAGAAGAGCCTCACAAGCCTCAGCAGTTCAGCAATAAGGACTGAAAGCATTTCAGCTGCCCTGCAGCCCTCTCCTCACACTGCGCCCTTCTCCCTAGGGCGGCTTCCCTGGGGCACTCGCAAGCAAAAGGGCAGCGCAGGGCGAGCACGTGCCCCGTCTCAGCAGGGGGGAGAGGAGGGCACGCTCCTGGCCACCCATCAGGTCACCTACCCAGAGGAGACCCTTACCCTACAGCCGCTCTTGCTGACACTGCGGGCAGTCCATCCCTGGGAAGGAACGGGGTGCAGTAGATGCGTGGGGCACGTATTTGTCTGCTTAAACAATCCCTGATGTTACTAAGGGTAGAAATAAGAGTAGTCCTGAAAAATGTATTTGCAAAAGCCTGACCACCTCTCTAAAAATAAGGCAGGCTCCTGAAGTTCCTCAGCTGCGCTCTTCTTTCAGCATCGTGGTGCCTCAGATCTTTCCCCCACGTCTTCTACCTTCCAGTTTCTCTTTAATATAAGCTGCAGTTTCCTCCTTCACAAAGCCCTCTCTGCGCTACGCTCTCAGTGCCCTTCCTTTGTTATTCTGTTATCAAGCTGTCTGCGAGGTGGGGAGCAGAAGTTGCAGGACTTGGCACTGCCTTTGAGGTACAGGTAATTATTATGTGCATCTGTTATTGTGGTTGCTGCCTCAACAGGTGGAAAACATGCTGTTCTCTGCTAGATTTGCAGCACTCTACGTTCCTACCTTGTCTTTTCTCTGAAGCCAGTCGTGTGGTGTTCCTAAAATAATAAACACAGCCTCACTGCTGCCACAAAACCCCTGGTAAATATATTTTTATGGGAATGAAATATTAAAGGATTTGAACAGTTATTCACTGAAAGCAAAATATGAGCAGTAAGGTTGGGTAAAGATTCAAAGGCTGGTTTTCTTCCTTTCCCTGGGGCACATCCAGGCAGCACTGCTTGCACTTTGGAGATGGATAGTGGGGAATTACTTAACCCAAAATGATGGAAACAATTCAGACTATAATAATATAGCATGAGAGTTTCTCACATTACATCTATTCCCCATACTGCTGGCTATATGCTGCCCTCAGATTCACATGCACAGCTCTCATTGGATTGTGGAGGAGCTGTGTTTGAAGCCAAAATGCATTTCACTGTCTTTCTGAAGTCTCTCTATGGTTTAGTTGCTAAATCCTGAGCTCAAGGACTGTGGACAAAGCTTGTTGAAACGTTTCCTAGTGTCTGTCTGTGTGAGATTCCCATCTGCTGATTTTTGTTTTGAATGTCATCTTCCTACTTTCCCTGAAAACACAAAGCAGAAACACACATTTCCTCTACCTTAGAGTACAGGAATCACCAAAATTCCCCGAAGGTTCTCTCACAAAAGACGATGGATCCAAGTCTGTCTGAAAATGCTACAAACGCTTTGTGGAGGAGAAAGGGAGGAGACCAGAAATGTGGGCCAAGTTTC